TTCTATTACGATTTTCAGAGCTCAACTTACCGGGATCATTTTATTGTTTATGCTTCGTCAACGCGGAAATGTAAAAAGTTAGATTATGCCATAATATTTACTTCTCGTACAAATATATATAGCCAAGTTAGGTAAATACTTTGAATCAGCGATAAACTCGTCAAGAAGGTCTACTGGAAAAATTAACAAACCAGTTAGGTATTCTTAGTCTCACTCCCCTTGATATTTACATGAAGGAGGTTGCTCTGACGACAATAACACGCCTCCGCACGGTCGGAATAGAAGCTGGAATAGGATAGGATAGGATCTGGTGAGGCGAGACGGCAGGAGGCGCACGGTACGCTCCCACTGCTTCAAGCGAACATGGACTCCATCTCACCGAGGTATATCTTCCATAAGCCATATAAAATTATAATAGAACAAATAGAAAAACCAGAAGTGACAGGTACGATTCATAGTAACACCAAAGGTTCTAAAACAGAACAAGGCTCAGGACGTGGAATATACTCCAGATTCTTAAACCTAAACATAAAATGGGCTGTGAGCAATAGTGCAAATGTAGTTCAAACAGAGCTAACAGGGATTCTCATAGCAGCAAAAGAAATAAACAGAAACAATATCACTGGAAGGAACATGCTCATCTTTACAGATAGCAGACAAGCACTAATCACCCTGAACAGACCACGAATTTATTCAGGGTTAGTACTAGAATGTTACGAAGCTTTGACCGAAGTATCCATCAACAATGTGGTCACCTTTGCCAGGTGGATCAAAGGTCATGCCACATTGAAAGGTAACCATCTTGCCGATTCACTAGCCAAGAAAGCAGCCAACAAAATACTTTTAGGACCTGGCCCTTCTATTGGCCTAACAAAATCGGTAGTGACAGACCTAATTAAAGAACATTTCCTTGTGAAATTCAAGGAAAGATGGGATGAAACAAGAAACTGCAGAGTTGCCAGGGAGCTCTTAAGTTATCCTGACAATACTGCAGCAAACAAATACTTGACTATGACTAGACATAATCTGCGCCTGGTCACAGGCATTCTGAGTGGTCATTGCCAAGTACGGAAGCATCTCCATATCATGAGGCTGTCAGAATCTGCACTCTGCAAAAGGTGCGAACAAGAAAATGAGACCATTGAGCATATCCTTTACGATTGCTCGACGCTATCATTTGTTAGAAGATTGGTGTTCGGCGAGTATCGGCTTACACCGGCCGATATAAGAGAAGCACCTCTTGGCGACGTTGTCAACTACACTAAATATGTAGGCTGGCTCACGAGCTAGGAGATGCCTATCATCTTAGGAGGATGCGCAATGGGCCTAATAAATAAATCAGTGTCGTAGCGTGAGACAGGTATATGGTTACTTAGTTGTAGTAGTTTATTTTTTTGATCAGATCATTCTAAGAAATTCGTGATAATACGGCTTAAAATGAAATATAACACTTTTACGTTTTAATTACCACTAAATTATCTTAAGTTCTTTATACGCCCATTATAGTGACCTTTTTTGTTGTTGTTAGTATTATCTTAATGATATTATTGGTATATATAATCTGTATTTTAATCGTTTAATTTGCCAATTAGTTTTTTTATTTTTTTATTTCTTTAAAAATAATTTATTTTTGATGAAATTTGATAAAATTATACCTTTGTGTTTTAAATAAACAAAAAAAAATTTTACTGTAAAAAATTATCGTACTAAGTTCTTCAAGTACTCATTGTTTTCGTTTTGACATGTAGTTTTCGACAAAATAAAAATATATACAGTCACGATTAAAAAACATTCTCAAAACTGGAGGAAAAGGAAAAATTACAATAGCAACAATTCGTTTCAATTAAAAAAAATACAAATTAATAGCACTATAGAATTGTATGGAAAAAATATATAAAAAAACTGTTTTTTATTTTTTGACAATAATTTTTATTTTTCTATATACAGAGTGTTTCAGATTTAAAATAAAGCTTAATGGGAGGTAGAGCACACTTAGCTGAGTTTAAAACACTCCCATACTTAGCCTTTAATTTCACTCGTTTATGAAATAGGGTGTTTTATGATTTTTTCCCAAAACTAAAGTCGGCCATTTTGTTTGAATAGCTAAAGATATTTTAATAAAATTTTGTACAAAAGGTACACTCTCTTAGGTTAATCAACGCCATAATTTAATTTAAAAAAATTTCAGGACCGGACTCTCTTTTTTTATATTGCTCTTCATAGCTAGAATATCACCCTGTATATCGGATTTTAAAAAATGTTACTGCACATTTAAATAGTACGTGGATCAATAAATAAAATAATGTGATAATATTTATTGACATCATCTTGATTTTCTTACAGTAAATTTTTATAATGGCGACTACAATATTATAAATCAGTTTTACAAAATTGAAATCAAATATTTTGCTCTGTATTTTTAAAACTCTACACAAATTAGGTACTATCTTCATTTATTTTTAACTACTGCATTTTCCAATAAGAAATTAAACGTCTAAAACAAATAATTAATTAAAACAAAAGTATATTTTCAAAATTAACACTATGATCATCAATACACATCTGCGAACGTTTTAACAGGTTTTTCACCAATTTGTCAATTATTTTCGATTTATTTCTAATGTTGTTACATACATTATTATTTTTTTTCAAAAACTGTGCTCGGGTATTCATTTCTTCGTCATACACCTCTGATTTAAGGCTTGATGGCCAATTGACGTGACCGCCTCGACCTATCCTTCTATTTGGGAAACGGTGATTTAAATGGTCTCTGACCAGTATTTGAAAATGAGGTCCAGCACCATCGCATCGTATTAATTCCTTCTAACAAATTTGGTAGGATGTCTCTAAGGAAATTTAAATAAACTTCAGCTGTTAATCTGCCTTCAAAAACATGAGGGCCTATTAAATGATTTTTCTAAATACCACACCATACACTTATAGAAAATCTATAGTGGGAATGTTTTTGTGATACAGTGTGAGTATTTTTAGTTGCCCAAATATGGTCATTCCAAGTGTTATTGATCCCATCACGTGTAAGTTGAGATTCAACAGGAAATAAAATTCTCATATTGCCTTCTGTGGGCCAAAGTTCATCTACAAAAAGATAAGCGGGGTACGTCGTCTACGCGTTTAAGTCGCTATATTTTTTGTATATGCAATGGATGCAAATTTTCTTCTTTTAAAGTTTTCTATACTCTTGTTATCGGTACTGCTAATTTATTACTAATTCTTCTTACACTGATAGAAGGATTATTTCGAGCTATCTGTAGTATCTCTTCTTCTTGTCGAAGATTATTTCTCGGAGCATGTCCATGTTTAACTGTAGTTGGAAACATTCCATGTTGCTTACTGAATTCGAAAACCTGTAAAAATGTTTTAGAATTTGGTAAGCGGCGATTAGGAAAGCATCTGCGATACTCTCTTACTACTACTCGTTACAAAAACCGAACACAAAAATAATATCTGCATATTCTTTATTACTAAATTGAAACGGCATCCTGTAATACTTATTTTCATACAATTAGAAACTTACACTTATGAACAAAAGTAATTTAGCTCAATAATGTACATAAAATAAATGATATTATTTGACACAAGCCTACTGGTATTATACAATTTTACATTAATCATGTTTTAGGACAGAATGAGTGATGGTGTAATTAGGCGCATATTGGCAGTTGACTAAATTTTTTTAACTTTTAAATTTAATTTTATCACAGTTTAAGTTTTAATTTATAAATATAATTACCTAAAGATGAACGTGGAGAGAGAAATGAATAGGGTGGTTTGAAATCATCTTTCTGTTAGTTTAAGAATTAGTAATAAATAAGCAGTACCTAGGTACCAGAAACAAGTGTATGGAGAACTTATAAAATGTTTGGTGTGGAGTTGCCCCCTGAGGAAAAAACCCCTCTTGGGGCCATGAGTGCCAACATAGGTACTCAAGTTAAAAATGGTGTGAAATACTTAAATTGATATTAATTAACACCAAAAAGGTTCTTACAAAAGCTAACATTAAAATTATAAATAAAAATCGTTGAGCTTACATGGGTCAACACGCTTCAAGAGAGCTGCAGCATAAGTTAACAGTGTACCACATTTGGTACTTATGGCAGTCAACCTGTTAAAAATAGTTGAAAAATATTATAACGATTGTTTAATTTAAAAATAATTTATTTATTTAACACAATTGATTTATTAACATTATTACTAATCAATTTATGTATAATACTTAAGCACTATTATAATTCACACTTTCTAATTAATTTATTTTATAATTTATCTTTACTTAACAACATTTTTATATTAAAACATAAATTTCTATCGACTAAGTCGCGCTATTTATATAAAAATGTATCGGCCTAGTAAGAACTATCTTGTAAGAAGAATCTCGAAAGCTTCCTTCATGCGTCGAACCGCACACAGAGAAAATTCCAGCTAGTGTTTTAAACTTAATAAAAACTTTAACAAATAAAATACAATTTAAATATTAGTAGTTATTAAAAATTTAGAATTCGATAAATATTTCGAATTAATTAATTTAAATAATTTTAAATTAAAAATATTGCTCTTGTCTAAAATTATCATGGCCTCCTCGATGCCACCCTTGTGTTTAGTGTACCTTTGATAGCTTATTTTTCTATTTCCTCGTTCTTTCATTTGCGGTATTAATACCGAAAATAAACATTATTTTAGGATCCGTATTTTCACTGTTTAAAGAAAACTGAACCGAACACACCTTTTCAAACACACGGAATTTCTCATTTAACCTGTCGGCGCAAAAAGTTCCTTAATAGCCTTTTTCAAAGACAAGATACCGACCAGCATTGCGAAAATTTTATTTCCCGCGTAGGTAACTATCTCCAAATATTTTTCCAAGCTCGGATAGAGAAACTAATACTTCAGCGTCGGGATAAAAGTCAAATATTTGGTTTTTAGATTACTCTCCCAAGTTTCGGAATGGCTTTCGAGAAACACTAGTAGTAGTAGTACCTTACTTGACTTGTATTGTTACTACTCTCACAAAACCGTCTAAAAACATTTCGACTAATGCTAATGCTAAAACTTTGTGTTGAATTACTTGTTCGATGAAGCTCTCTGGTATAGTTCTAAGTGCAATATTAGTTATTATTTTAGTTGTTTAATAAGAGTGGAATGAGGAAAGTTTTAATGGGATTTTATTAGCGTTAGTTAATCCTTTTAGTTTTGAATTTCATTAATGTATATACTTAATATGAATCGGGAGCAATTATTCTATGAAAAAGCGAATGACACAAAATTTCTTCACTTTTTATCTAAACCATCTGTATTATCGTAATGATATTTTACAGTATTACAGTGTGGTTCATTCTGCGTGAGCGTGATCTTGTCATTGAGAACCTTTCTACAGGTACAGTCTGACCAGGGAGCCGATTCTCCAACTATGGGAAAATGAGTTTGAGTACTCTCTCACGATTTGGCCTTGCTGCGTATGTCACATCTACTAAAATTATAAGGAATCATGTCAACAGCGAGATCAGTGTTGCAAGATTTACCATAATTATCTTATTTGTATGATATACTGAAAAATTGCCCAATTTTTCTGAATTTTTTATATTCCAACTTTCGAGCTAGATTAAATTTCTATGTAATACACACGTTTAAAGGTTCGTTTACATCTGACATTTATTGCATGATATTTATGTCTGACAGTTGTTTAGTCCAGTGTAAACACTCAAAAATATATGTCCGAGAGAAATTTTTGTGTGTTTACACTGCACTAAACAACTGTCAGACATAAATCTCATGCAATAAATGTCAGATGTAAATGTACCTTAATGCGTTTAATATTTTTGTAATATATTATTACATGCGTACAATTAAAAATATTTTTAATTACAGGGTGCTTCACAAAAGTGACGGTAGTTTTTTTGCAAAATCTCACTAATTCTATTTATCACATATTGCAAAATACACATTTGTTATACAAGGTGCTTTATAGTGAGAACTACAGAATATATATTTATTTAAGGATTACTTAAAAACCCTGTTTTTACGAATCGATTTTTGGGAAAAATAATATCACTAAAATATGGGTACCTCTAAGCTTTAAAATATAACACGGTTTTGAGAGTCATATATTTTAAATCCGGTACTATGATCAGTTTTCGAGATACATGACGTTAAAGTGGAGAATTGTTGATTTTAGTTTATTTTTTCTTTAAATTGAAAAGCTAGATTGTCTTTGAATAAATTGAATATTTAGTTTTTAGTTTTTAGGAGATGTCCAATACAAGGGGCAGTTTAAAACAGCGGCTCGTGATCAAAATATTGGTGATTCACAATGACAGAATATAGATATCAGTACAAATGTAGGTAAAAAGTGTTTTAGAAAGGTATAGGTATAGAAAGGTTATAATGCCAAACATTTTTACGTACATCTTTACTAATACATATCTATATTCTGTCATTGTGAACCCTTAATATTTTGGACACAAGCCGCTAATGGTTTTAAATAATTTTTACTAGGTGCTTCACGAATAAATCAAAATAATAATATATTTTTGCAAACACTAAATAACTACAGTTGCGCCACAGAGAAATTATTGCTTTAATTTCTTTTTATACAAGGTGAGCCATCTAGCCAATTACCAAAATATATTTATGTTTTGAAATTATTAAAAAGACGACCTTGCATTTCTTTATTGTTTTGAGTAAGTTAATATCATTACATTAGATAGGTACCTATGTAACCATAAGATTTTAAAATATACAAAGTACTCTAACTGTTTCTATTAGAACATCCTGTGTATAGGAAATGTATTGTATAATATTTTGTTGCCAAAATACCATAGTGTGTAGTATTTTGTAAAAATATGTTTCTCTGATGTCACAGTAAACTTATTAAGATTTTGAAAAAACTACCATCATACATTTGTGAATCACCCTGTATATACTAATGTATTACTAAAGCATGTAGTAAACGTGTGTGTATACAACAGAAATTCAATCAAGCTCGTAAATTTGAAAATATAAACTTCGAAAAACTAGGCAATTTTCAACTTTAACACCTTGTATATCGAAAACTAGTCGTAGGATTAAGTTGAGCCTATTTAGACGTTTAGTTACTAGGTTGAGTACAGTAACATACCGAAGTTTCAGAAAATGTTTATACAAAAACAAATGGAAGATCAAAATCAAAAAGGATTACATGATTACATGAAAAATAAATTATTTTTCAAACTTTAAATGAACAAGAATAGGTTGTTATTTTTACTTTTATTTTTATTCAATAAAATTATTATCTAGTTACCCTAATCCAAACCCCATACACTCTTAAATTAACCAACCAGCTTCCGATAACGTCACACTAGTAAGGTCAGTTCCGTATGATAAAATTATGAGAAAAAAGAAAGACAATTTCTATAGCATTGTACAATTTGATTTTGGTCGTCGGGCAACATTGGTGATGAAACAATCGACTCACCGTCGAGTAGGAGAGTGTAGTAGCGCTCTTAAGCCGGGATCCAACGGCGCGTGGAGCGGCACTCCACGCGCCAAACTTGCCAGTTCCCGCTCCGTTGGATAGGGCAAGCTTGCCAATCTTCGGTCGGCGCGATGAGTCCCGTCGTCTGTCGGTAAATCAACACGGTTCAAAGGGGCGCGGACGTTGGCGCGCCACACGTGCTTACAGCTCCAACGGCGCGGCTAGGAGCGTGGTACTACCAGTGCCGTGGTAACTTTCACCATGGAGTGGTCTAACGAAGTGGTGTTAGAATTTTTATCATTTTATGAAGCCGAGCCAATTATTTGGAACCCACGGAATCCAAACCATAAAAACAGGAACTTAGTTCATGATGTCTGGAGGCGAATTGAAGAGCAAATGAGCGTAAAATGTTCAATCGCAGATTTGAAAAAAAAAAAAAAAAGATATATTAATGGGAATCTTTCGGAAACTTTTCGACAAAAGTTTTTAAAATAGCCTGAGGGTTCTTGGCGTAAATCTTCTAACATGTCTGTGGCACTGTACCTACAAATGATTAAAAGAAAACTATATTATTTGCAGCAAAAACATTAAAATTACAAATTATTCCAAAGTTTAATTTTTATGACTGTCAGACTATGTCTATTATTCCAAGCCTTTTCCAAATGTGTGTAAAATAAGACTCCCATTTTTTTGGTTTCTGAACCAAATTGCAGTCGTAGAAAAATTATAGTATATTACACTTGTGAACATCAGTTTTAAACACTTGTTGCAAAATATTCTATAATGTACTTACCTATCTCAATTTCTATACAAGGACACTCTCCACCATCTTCTTTGTTTTCGTTTTATTTTTGTTCCCTTGCTATCCTGTAAACCCCTAACATAAAATAAAAGGCTGAGGCAGCAACGATACGCGTCCGCTCACGGTTCATCTTTTCATGCAATTAATCAAAATTATGAATTTTTTATCGCCAACACTGCCTTCGTAAAACAGACTGCAATAGGCGCGTGTCCACATCTGCGCGATCCTCATGCGCCGTGGGAACGGTCCGACCGTTGAGACTCAACTCACAACCCAGGATTGCCATTCCACGCGCCGAGGAGTGCCGCTCCACGCGCCGTTGGATCCCGGCTTTATAAGTTCAATAATAGGGTACCAAGATAGAAATAATTGTGAACTTATTTGTAACCTATTTATAAAATCAAAACTTTTCTAGCAAATTGTGACGGTTCCCCGTCTTGTTAAAACCATATCCTTTGATCAAATAAATTTAGTAATAAACTTAGTTTAGTTTTCATAGAAGAAAACTACAAAATTTCGATTAATTATAGAGTTTCTTATTTTTTTTTAAGAAAAAACTAATCAAATTTTGAAAATTTACCACCTATAAATATGATAAACTTCAAAAGTGGGATACTACTGACAGTTTGCATGGATATAATTTGTATTAGTTAGAAAAGCCACATACCAAAGCAAGGAGAAGCATCCTTAATTTTCCAATCTCCAATTCTTTATTAATTTTGTTTAATGCACTATTTTATTTCCTTATAATTTACTGGAACACGATGTGTTCATACCACACAAGTTATGAAACCTGAGGCAAAATAAGGTAATTAAATGTATACCGTGTTTTTCTGAAAGCTATTCAACACACTAAATTAACATTTAACTAATTGTTTAGATTAATATAACTATAAAATTTAATTAAATTAAAAACAAAGGTTTTTTTTGTAACGTCAGTCACTAATAATAGTGACAACGTTACTAGAGGCAAATAAATTCCATTCTAAAATAAAACTTATTGCAAGCCTGATATTTTGACATATTTCTAACTTCATTTTAAAAACATTAAATATTGGTTCATCAAGGAGGTTGCTCTGACCACAATGACACGCCTCCGCACGGTCGGAATAGAACCTAATGTAGGGTCTGGTGAGGCGAGACGTCGCTTTTGGCAGGAGGCGCTCGATACGCTCCCATTGCTTCAAGCGAACATGGACTCCATCTCACCTAGATATATCTTTCATAAGCCATATAAAGTTATAATAGAACAAATAGAAGAGCCAGAAGTGGCAGGTACGATTCATATCTACACCGACGGTTCTAAAACAAACTAAGGCTCAGGATGCGGAATATACTCCAGATTCTTAAACCTAAACATAAAATGGGCTGTGAGCAATAGTGCCAGTGTAGTTCAAACAGAGCTAACTAGGATTCTCATAGCAGCAAAAAAATAATCAGACAAAATATCACTGGAAGGAACATGCTCATATATACAGATAGCAGACAAGCACTACGCAACCTGAACAGACCACGAATTTATTCAGGATTAGTACTAGAATGTCATGAAGCTTTGGCCGAAGTATCCATCAACAATGTGGTCACCTTAAGATGGATCAAAGGTCACACCACATCGAAAGGTAACCGTCTTGCCGATTCACTAGCCAAGAAAGCAGCCAACCAAATACTTTTTGGACCTGGCCCTTCTATTGTCCTGACAAAATCGGTAGTGACAGACCTAATTAAAGAACATTCCCTTGTGAAATTCAAGGAAAGATGGGATGAAACAAGAAAC